TGTCACTACTTTGGCTCCCAGAGGTTGACTGTGGTTCTCCACCTGCCGTCCCTCACTCACGCTTGCTGTGGAATAAAAGCACAAGGATGGGCACTGAGGTGGTTTATCAGTGTAACTCTGGATATCATAATGTTGGAAAGGGAAATGTCTCTATCTGCACTGCAGCTGGACAGTGGGCGGGTCCATCTGTGCTCTGCCGAGGTACTGTCACTGTACTTTCATGCTGATGAGGACTATTTCTAATCGAAAATGATTGACTGACCGAATTAATCTGAATCCTTTGTGTTACGTTGTTGTGGTGATTGTCGTTCCTTGTAGAGATCTTGTGTGGAAATCCTCCTGTAATTGAATTCACTGGGCAGGTGTGGAGTTATAACTCCACACCTGGCAGCACTGTGCTCTATTTCTGTAAAGACGGCTTTTATAACAAAGGAGGAAATAATGTATCCACCTGTCAGGAAAATGGTCAGTGGACATCCCCAACTTTGTCATGCCAAGGTAATCAAACAATGGATTGTTTTCTAAGGAAAAAAACAGCATTAAATTATTCAATTCAATTCAATTTTATATAGCGCCGAAAAAACAACTGTCACCTCAAGGCACTTTATATTAACCACTTGGCGACAGTGGGAAAGAAAAACCCTCTTTCAACAGGTAGAAGCCTCTGATGGAACCAGGCTAAGAGGAGGAAGACGGGAAAACATCATAAGGACTTTTGGAAAAAAAAACAACAAATAAATAAATAAAGGTTTAATGTAGAGATTTAATGAGATAATTCAAGATTAAAGAGATTTTTTTAAAGGTGGCACTCAGTAAATTGCCAATTTTAAAAAGTCACTTGATTTTAAGACCCGGTCGGTCCCCTTTGATTATACCTGTTTCTCTTGCTATGACAAACTAAACTATATTGTTCAATATCTTATTGCGAAGTAAATTAAAATGTCTTGTGCTTTCAGTTGTTTTTATAATCCTCCATAACTCCCCTTGTGTATCATTTCCCGTCATAGAGATATTATGTGGGAATCCTCCAAATCTGCCTCACACTGGGCAAGTGTGGAAAGGTAGCTCCACCCCAGGAAGCACTGTAATTTACTACTGTAAAAAAGAATTTTATCACAGTGACGGAAACAATGTTTCAGTGTGCACAATTAATGGTTACTGGACAAAACCAGATATCTCATGCAAAGGTAACAGCTTTCTTCTGGCGCTCTCGAGACACAAACAACTGTTTATTTTCTTCTGTTAAATGATAGATTTTTTTCATCTGTAGAAGTTGACTGTGGCAAGCCCCCACTCATCCCTAATTCAGTCATGCACTGGGATAAAATTTCCACTGTGGGCTCAAAGGTTATTTATCAGTGTAAACCTGGATATCTCAATGCTGGAACAGGGAATGTATCTGTTTGTAGTGCCAGTGGAAAATGGGATGGAGCATCTATCCTTTGTCAAGGTGACAATTAACTATAAACTTGTGTGTTAATTACTGTAAAGTCATTTTAAACCAATGTGCAGTTTAACCATACACAATTCAAAACTCATTGAAGCATTGCTGACAACATACATCTAGCTATTATCACCCACAATGACCAGCTTTCTTTTTGTTGTAGAAATCAACTGTTGGGAGCCTGTTTTAAAACCCAATGCTAAAATGTTATGGGATGGCACATCACGCATTGGTAGTGTGGTTTATTACCAGTGTGCAGAGGGATATTACACCAGGAGCCTGAGAAACTACTCAGTATGTGGAGAAAACGGACTATGGGAGGATATTGATCTGTGGTGTGAAGGTGCAGATTATTACGTAATGCATGTTCAGGGGCTGTTGTTGTCGTTGTTATGGAAAAAAAGGCATATTTAATGGAGGATTGGACAGTGTGTCTGTCTTGTTGCATTTCTTTATAGCCCACAGTCTGTGCTCATTCATGTCTGTGTGTCAGACAGAAATAAGCTGTGGTCCCCCAGTAGCCCTCCCCCACGCTAACCTCCTGTGGGGCCACAACAGCACACCGGGCAGCACTGTGCTGTATGAGTGTATGGAAGGATTTTACCAGGAGAGTGGGAATAATATGTCAACATGTTCACTATCAGGAGAGTGGGGGGAAGTATCTATAAAGTGCAAAGGTAGAGTAACGATCTCTCTGTATCTGTTCAGCAGTGGGAGCATGATTATTTCTGATTATTAGCATGCTGTTTACGTGTTTGCATGCTGCTTATTAATGTGTTTGTCCCTGCATGCTCTGTGGGTCTTAATATTTTTCTTTATTTCTAGGATTTTGGTTTCCTTTAGGTGCATGCTGAAAAAACAATGAATAGCACTATTTCTGAGTCATTAAACAATTCACTCTTGCTATTTTCCAGCTAAATGTGGCCCGGCTCCTTTTCTTGCCAACTCAGAGGTGGTGTGGCATAATAGAAGCGTTGTGATCCACCGCTGCGTGGCAGGATATCACAGCTGGAGGGGAAGCAACGTCTCTGTGTGCGGGAGCTCCGGGGAGTGGCAGAAAGCTACTCTGAGATGCATAGGTAAGTGTCAGCATACAGTTAAAGCCACAGTTCTCATTGTTTCATTACAGGCATCTGATTCCAAATGTTTAACTTGTATTTAGTAGCTTTTCAGTGCATCTTTCATTATGGCCCAAAGAGATTCTGATGCAAGTTAACAAGGCTGAAAAGCCCCCCAAAAGCCCCCAGTAATCTGTATTACCAACCGGTATTGGTAATACAGATTACTGGCCTTCAGAATACTCAGTATTCTTAAAAGGAAGGACGGTGCTGGCCAAAAGGCCTGAAAGACTGCAGAAGACAACTAAAGTGGCTGACTGCATAATTTTCATTACATCTAGCCAACATAAGAACATTCTTGATGAGGTAGGTGAATGATAGTTAAAGTCTGCAACCAAGAAATTCCTTCATGGATGGAAATATAGTGTGTTTACAACAAGGTGCAAACCACTGGTTACACTCAAGAACAAGAAGGCCAGATTAGTCTTTGTCTGAAAAAACAAAATAGAGGCTGATCGGTTCTGGCAAAGATTCTTTTGATACAAGAGATAGATTAAATTGTACCATAATGATGACAAGAGAATGAAAGGAACTGCTCATGTTCCAAAGCACAGCACACCATCTGTTAAACACGACAGAGCCAATGCTTTAGCATGGGATGGCTGCCAGTGGAATCACGTCTTCAGTGTGTGATTGATGACGTGACTGCTGATAAAAGTAGCAGGGTGAATTCTAAAGTGTACAAGGCGCTACTCTCTACTCACATTCAGCCACATGCTGCACAACAGACTGGATCATGCTTCACAGTACACGTGGATAATGACCTAAAGCGTAGCTTTATGTTGCAAAGAAATGGGATATTCTTCAGTGGCCAAGTAAATCAGCTGATCTCAGTCCAGTGGAGCATGGTTTTTATTAACTGGAGACAGAACTGATGGAAGAGTGCAGTATAATTGTCATAAGCTTTGTGGATTGTTGTTATTTACAGAATCAAAGACAGGAGGCAGAGAGAAAACTCAGTGTAAGCTTTGATTTTGATTTCCCAGGTGATAAACAAAGTTCAGAGTCCACAGAGCAGTTTACAGAAAACTAGGAATCCATAGATCAGGAAATACTAAGAATTCCAAACACAAGCAAACTCAGCACTAGATGAGCCACAGCTGGAGGGATGACTTGACAGAGGACAAGGAGAAGCTGAAACAATAAATACAAGAGTTGATGGGGGAAAGGAAACACAGCTGACAATAATAATGGAAGATGAGAAAAGGGAAGTAAAATAAAACAGGAAGTAATTACTCAGAGACAAAAGACTAACATAATACAACACAACAGAAAGAATAAGATAATAAGTGACTGTGCCAAATAACCCTAAAGCAGAATATTAATGAAATAATCATTAACCAAAACAAATAATTGAGGCTCAGGATACTAAGAAATGTGATCATCAACCACAATCAAACTAAGAACCAAATGGAACATTAAATAATAAACAAGGATTACGTCCACAAATTAAACACTGGTTCTGAAACCCAGGACCATAACGATAACAATACAGCACAACAACTGCATGACTGTCCATGACCAGCCTGTAGTGGGTAAATACTGTGGTTGACATGTTCATTATATCCCACAAAATGCTTTTTTTTTTCATCCACAGAAATCAAACCACCTATCAATCACCTGCTTATTTTTAATGAAAGCTGCCTGCAGTGGAAAGCAGAAAAGTACGAGGAGGACACAGAGGTTTACAAGGTCAGATAAAACATCACCTACCTTCTTTAGCAACCAGGACTTTTCTCCATGACACATTTGGTTTACACTTTCTAGGTGACTTACACTGGATCCAGGGACTACCAGAGATCCTTTTATGACAAAAGGAAGAGATTTCTGAGCTCCAAAGCAGACCAGCTGAAGCTCTGCCTTGGCTTGCTTCCAGTCACAAACTATAGCATCACCGTCACTGCAACATCTGCCAGGTTCACAGCCTCTGTCACCACAAACACCAGTCTACCAGGTAGCAATTTAACCTCAACTCTGCTGTAGTCTGATAAAATTATTTCCAATCAATATATTGACCAAACATATTTCATAAATAAATAAAAGTATTGTGCATTTTATTCCCTTCGTTCCCTTTATACTAAGCAAAATACTTTATAATATGATCTTAATCAATAGTACCTCCGGGACCAGTTGTCTACTACAGGGAATTTGACACTCCTCTACCAACGTTGAGTCTACGCAGATCACCCAACACACTGGACTTAATAAGGTATCAGCATGGCAAGGGGAAAGATATCTGATACCTCTGAATCCTTTCCAAACAAAATCATGAAATGTTGCATGTTAGAGTTAATTTTTTTGTCTTTTTTCTCCCAGTTTGTACCAAGTGTTTGTACTTCCTGTAGAGGGGTTTATGATGTTTAACTGTTCCTCTCCTGCAATCGCGCCGCCTTTGAGCACACTTAAGTCACCAGCGGAGTACATCGCTGCTCAGTTTGAAGTCCATCGTGTTGGAACAGAGATGAATCTCACTATAGGAGATGGGCTGCTCTATGGTGGCTTTTATAATGCACCACTGGAGAGTGGCAAGAACTATTATATCATTTTACGGGCTGTCAGTCAGTGGAAATCGGTGAGTGCAGCTATTCTATGGTTAAAAAGTAATGACTGAATATGTTCGACAGACTTTAGCTGCATGTCTTCTCTCCTAGGCCTTAAAAAGTTCCTGTGTCCTGTGGGCTAAAGTAACAGGTAATGCACTGTGAAGCAGTCAGCAAGATCATTTTATCCACAATTATGACACTCTCAATTTAACCCAGTTTCCAAAGTGTCACTTAGTCACAGAGACTTTCTTCATTCCAGCTACATCGTACGCTCTGAGGGTTTCATCGCTGTCTGCTGTAGCTACTATAGGGCTGGTTGCCGTGGTTATTTGGGGAGGCTACAGTATCTCCTGGTATGGAAGATGTCACACACTTCATTACATTTCATTTTCACACTATTAACATAATTTCATGTCTAAGTAGACACACTGATCCATCAGTATATTAGTATAATGATCTATAGTTATAGTTATAGCGTAACGTCCCTCTGTCCTTGTTTCCAGGTGTTTCAAGAAGACATGATGCTCCCGAGTGCTGACGTGCTCTAATACTGTCCTGAGTTTCTAGCAGTACATTTTGTAAATAGTTATTATTTTATATTAAATATTATCACCATATTAAACTTATTAAAATCATTTTTTGACACAGACTCACATTGTGATTATTGGGTGTGCAGAGGTCCTCTCTTCTGTTCCAGGATCTCAGGGTCAGTTTATGATACTAAAGTCTTTCCTGTCTGCAGAGCACATTAATGTGTCAGAGCACTCATCAGGACACAGAAAGTGTGTGAGCAGAATGTCTCTCTCAACTTCTGGAAGACTATGTCCTGGTGAGTGGTGTGATGAAGAAGAGACTTGGCTTCCACACGTTGACCTGTTGTTTGCTGGTCATCAGTGAAACCAAACATCCTTGGTGATGTGGGCCCTCCTTTTAGTTCTACTCTGTTCTGTGATGCAGTCGTGGTTTTGGATTAACGTTGCACAGTTTTGACACACCACTCAAGAAAACCTTTGTTGCTCTGAATGTCATAGAAATGCTCTTAGAGAAAGAAAGAAAGTGCAGACAATGTAAAGTATATATATATATATATATATATATATGCCCCTCACACTTAGAAAGTCTTATCTCACACTACAGTTGCAGTGCAAACTCACATATCCCTTTTTGGAGTAAAGATCCTTCAAAGATGGGAAGAGTGACACGATTCCAAGTGCATGAAACTCCTTTGTCGCTTTAGTTAGAGTTCTCCTGCAAAAGCAGAAGTGTTTTTGTGATGCGATTCTCACCAGTTTGAAAAATGAATGGAATAAACACCATGCCTCTTACCCTTCCTTTTCATGCATGTGAGCTACAATGATCTTCACCATTAATCGCCTGGTGGAATCTTTCAAACTCCCAGTTTATTCATACTCATGGATGACAGTCGCCCCTGCTGGTTTGGAAGTTGGAATCTGCTCCACTGTTTAAATAAATTTGATACAAACCACAAAACAACTGACAAAAAAAAGGAGACAATTTTAACCCAAACAACTATTTGTCTTCCTCTAATCTGTTTTATCTTTGTGTTTAAGCTTTTTCAAGTAAGGGCCACTAAAGAGCCAAGTGTGAGCCTATTAAGTAATGAATCATAATCAGAATACTTTATTGATCCCTAGGGGAAATTATTTGGGTTACAGTGCTCCAGTTCAAACAGTAACAAAGACAGACAGTACAAAAAGTAAGGAATAGCACAATATAAATATATATATATATACACACACAAGTTACTTATTGATAAATAGCTGAATAAGAAAGAGCATGTGCAATGTATGTATCTACATTTCTTGCATGTATGCTGTCCAATAGAGGCTGAACCATTTGACATCCAGCATCGTGTCACTGCTCTGAATGCTGGTGGTTGACACAGACAATGTATCTGTTTTGAGATTTGAGAAGAGGGTTCTTCCAGATGTTGCTGCAGGACAGTCAAATCTGAGGATCACAAATAAAAAATATTAGAATATAAGGCATATACAATCAAAAATCAAACAAAACAACATTTATGAAACTTTTTGTCTAAAAAGTTTACTTTTTGGACTAAAAAGACAACAGCACACCATTATGAATGATCCCATAGTCCATTTCTATCTCAAAAATCCTATTCATCATCCTAGTCCATATTTTTTGTGCATGTCATTATTGATCACTAAAGAGTTATGACGTATCATAATTTTATGATATTCATAAAAATTATGACCGTCACAGACACATATTACTTCCCAAGTCATAAATCATTTGACAGGGGTCCATAAATCACTGGTTTGACATAGCGGTCTTTGTGTGTATAGGATCACAAGTCAAATCTGTTAAAATTCTTCCATAGATTTCAATTCAAGATTCAACTACCAGCTCGCTTTAGTCTAGACTTGCAAAAGAAGTGTATAACCTTTCAGATCACCTTCCCACCTTGAGCTTATTCTATGGCTGTGAGCACTTGAAATCATTCACCTGCAAACCACTAAATTATGATAATAATCGATTATCTGTCAGAGACCTAAAAAAAAAATGCTGCCACAAGAAATACTGAAATATTACGTTATTTTAGAAAGGTTACACTTGGGACCTTCAGCAGAGACTGAACCTGATGACAGATCTGATGGAGCCTGGAAACTAAAAAATCTGTCCACACCAATTATATGATTTCGAAAGGAGAAAAAGATGGCGTATTAACGATGGGGCTGGAATACTAGCACTAAACAGTATTATAGGGCATATTTGAATGTGGAACGCGTTTCCAGAGACAAGCCGAGAGATGTGTGTACTGGGCCTTTAATTAAAGGTGTTTTGCATCCGGAGCAGCTCCCTCATATCCCCCAGACAGGCCAACGTCTCACCTACAGCATCACAAACCAGTTTGTTTACAAGGGCTCAAGCAGGTACGCAACACTAAGTACTGCGAGGAAAAGGTGAAAGTGACGTTTTAGAGCTCGTTATAAAGCAACAGTGAAGCATGTTATAGGACAGCCTGGGCGGCTGGCTGAACAGTAAGGAGTAGGCCGAGGGGACACGTAGAGATGTGTGATTGATGCCATTTAGCAACAGTACAGCTAACGTTAGCCATGGACGTGTTATACCAGATTAATGTATTTTTAGGGGGGTTTACTCAGGTTTACTCTAAATAAAGGCCAGACTTTAACCTTGCGTTAGCTGGGCGCTACGCTAATATACTCAGACAACGATAGTCAAGTTGCAGCGTTCGCTTAAAACAGACCGATAATTTCATATTGTCTTGTTTATCGGTACATTCTGGCAATATTGTATCATTAATACACCCACATTTCCTTTTAATGCGTTTCTGAGTAAGGCTGTAATGGCTATTCAACACTTTAATATTTAATTTAAATAAATATTGCTAGTCAATGATGTTACCGCCGTGAAAAGCAGTTATAGTAGCAGCCGATTTAAATTGGCATTTTTTGTTGTCTTATGTTACACTGGTCAACGCCGAATTAAAGCGTGGACAGTCATAACCAATAGGACATTGAAAGATAACCGCTAACTAAGAAACTTTTGAAAGCGATAGCCTTGTAATTATTAAATTGACCGGTTTGTGAATCGAGTCTGGCCTCGCGCTATCCAGGCAGCACACACAAGGTTGATTGTTGTGGTTATAATTGGTATGGCTGTAATTGACACAGGTGATGTTAACTATATATACTACATAGTGGGCGGGTACACACACACACACATATATATATATATATATATACATATATATATATACATACATATACATACACACACATGTGTCTGTGTATTTATTTTATTTTTAAAATTTTTTAACAAAATCTTTAAAATGTTTACATCCAGGTTAAACCACCTGCCACCTAAAGTTAAAAGTTTTTAATCGGTGTCCGGATAGTGCGAGACCTTAGAACAAGGGTGGGGGAACTCCAGGCCTCAAGGGCCAGCGTCCTGAAGGATTTAGATGTTTCCTTCATCCAACACAGCTGATTTAAATGGCTGAATTACCTCCTCCACCTTCTCCAGACGCCTGGAAATGAACTAATCATTTGATTCAGGTGTGTTGACCCAGGGTGATATCTAAGGCCTGTAGGACACTGGCCCTTGAGGCTTGGAGTCCCCCACCCCTGCCTTAGAACTAGACTTGATTCGCAAAATTTATAGTAGCCTATTCCTAGGAGAGATATTCAGTCTTTGTATTTTCATGTTGGTCTACTACAGCTGCTGTGGTCCCCTGGTTCACTATGGCCCAGAACCAAGTGATTCTGCAGTTCCGCTTCGCCACATTTGGAGACTCCATGCTACAGAAGATGAACCTTCTGCGACACCAGAGGCGCTTCTGCGATGTTACTGTTCGCATCAACCAGCTGGAGGTCCCTGGTCACAAAGTGGTGTTTGCTGCTGGCTCCTCTTTCTTAAGGGACCAGTTCATCCTTCAGCAGGACTCCAGGGAGGTCCAGATCTCTATGATCCAGGAGGCAGAAGTTGGCCGACAGCTGCTGCTGTCCTGCTACACTGGCCAGCTGGAGTTTCCTGAGCTGGAGCTGGTGCATTACCTGACAGTGGCCAGCTTCCTCCAGATGGGCCACATTGTAGAGCAGTGCACTCAGGCCCTCAGCAAGTTCATCAAACCACAGGCTTCACGCCAGCTGGAGGTGGATGTAAAAATGCGGAGGGAGAAGAGGGAGGAGAGTTTATCCTCCCAGGCAAGGATAGAACAAGAGCGCTCTCAGGTGCAGACTGTCCATCAGGAGGAGGAGGAAGAGGAGGAGGAGGAAGAGGAGGAAGAGGTAGTGGAGCAGGTGGAGCAGGATAATAACGATGATGAAAGTGAAGATGATGATGTGATTATACAGCCCAAAAGCCCTGTCCAGATCTCGACCAGGCGTCCAAGGCAAGGCATAGTGGAGAGTGACATCACTATAGTAAAGGTGGAGTCTGTGTCTGATGTTGCAGAGAACTCCATCACCGGTCACTTCTCCACCAACCCACCTGCAGAGCTCCACTCCCCTGAGCCCCAGCACTCGCTCATTAATTCCACCGTCGACAGCCGCAGCAGTGAGATGGCGGTTCCGCCTGGCGTGGCGGGATACCCACTTAGCCCTCCTCCTTCATCTCCACCTGCAGAGAAACACATCGGACACCAGAGGAACTACGACAAGCCTCTCCAGTGGTACCACCAGTGCCCCAAGTGCGCCCGAGTCTTCCGCCAACTCGAGAACTACGCCAACCACCTCAAGATGCACAAGCTCTTCATGTGCCTGCTGTGCGGCAAGACCTTCACGCAAAAAGGCAACCTGCACCGGCACATGCGCGTTCACGCCGGCATCAAACCCTTCCAGTGTAAGATCTGCGGTAAGACTTTCACCCAGAAGTGCTCGTTGTTGGATCATCTAAATCTGCACAGCGGAGATAAGCCGCATCGCTGTAACTACTGTGACATGGTGTTTGCTCACAAGCCAGTTCTCCGCAAGCACCTCAAACAGATCCACGGGAAGAACAGCTTCGATAATGCAAATGAAGGCAGCCTGCACGACGGCGGGGTGGACTTTGAATTCGGACGAATATGAGATCACTTTGGGCTTACTGGCCGTGCTGTTTGAGAACACAGTAACAAAGGCGGCCACGTGAGTGAGACGTTCACTGACATGGATGATGGGTTACCTAAAGGATACAAACATGAACAAGGTTTTTCTGATCGGCACATCACTGTAGCTTCATTACTGTGGACTATTTCTTTCTTTTGTACAATACAGTGTAGATGCCTTCATCTCATACTTGAAAATTGAAAAACACTGAAACACATCATAATGTTTGAACATCATTAGTTTTATTAATGCATTGCCATGTCTTTGTGTCTACCCTGTCCTTTAAAAAACTGCACAATGAACAGTATCCATTTTTATGTTGTTTATGTACACAATCTGCTGTATGATTACTTTTTAAACTGTATGACTATGGCAACGTGGACTTAGGAGAAACTTGAAAGAGTGGAGATGCAACATTATTTTACATAAGGCAAGCTATGTCATTTTGTCTTGGTGGCCAAAGTGTCTGTTAGCCTAAGGGGTCTTCTTTTTTTAATAGAATTTATATCTGAGGTACTATTGGACCAAAGTGACATTGTATCTGTCCTGTGTTCATGGAAGTCAATGTGAGTTACGAATAAAGAAATATTCTTAACTAATGTTGCTTTTGTTTTCTTACCGTTACTTATTGCTTCATCGTTCACGCACAACAGAAAATTCCCATGTTAGTGTCCAGTCTGTAGTAATGGCCAATGCAATTCTCAGCGTGTGCTTGTTTTTACAATTTTTAATCAGATCGAGTTGGCAGTATCTGAAAGTGGCATGGAAATTTCTGGTGAGTTGTTTCAACAAAGGGTTCTGTGTTTCCTGCACTTTCAGTATTTCCACATTTTGAAAGAAGGTGCTGTACTCTTTTAAAGAGAGGTTTCGCACCTCTTCACAAAATGAAATCAAATATTATGTCTAATACTGTGCTTTCAGTGTGTATCTGATGTTGAACAGCAGAGATGACAGTACGAACCTGTTAGACCTCGTTTAAACCCACGTTTTGCTCACTTTGGAACTGGTGTATTTAACAGATGGCTCCACATGATTCCTCATAAAAACTTTATTTTGAGTTAATAACTAACAAACAATAATAATAACTTTACCGCACTAAAAAATGTTATCAACAGCCCACACCTAGTAAAATGTGTTTTGTATATTTTTATATTTTCATTTATGTCATCATAATGGACCAACTGAAATTTTGCATTTAATGCTATGATTGGTATATCATTATTCAGTTGATATCATACAACAAATGATCAGTAAACATAAACTACATATTTTTTTCTAGACTTTTAAATTTAATGTGATTTATATAGCACTAATTCACAGCAACAGCCACTTTAAGGCACTTTGCACAGTAAGGTAAAAGACCCCACAACATCTGAGAGAAGTCCCCAATCATAAGCTGACCGTTTATAAGTAAGCAGTTGGCAACAGTGGGAAGGAAAACTTCTTCTCCTGACAGAACCAGGCTCGTGGATGGGCAGCCATCCTCCACAACCTGTTGAGGGTGAGAAAAGGGAGATGTGTTTATACAGTTGCGAGTGACATTTATGAAAATGTGTTAACTTAACCACTGGCGACCTGTCAAGGGTGCACCCTGCCTCTCTCCCTAAGACAGCTGGGATAGGCTCCACCCACCCCCCAAACCCGTCAACGCCCTATGCTGGTGCGTTGACCCAATATTTGTTTTGGCTTTCTACATCAAATAACCCAGTACAATTAGTTAAATAATCTTATTTACTTACCTTATGTACTTAAATATGTCCAACAGTCAAAATGTCAGCATAAAATAAGTTTACCATGATAGTATGTAAGTTGTCTAAACTGGAATTAGTGTAAAAACACTATGCTTCAAATTGTATTTGCCAAGCAGTAAATGCGATTTGAATATAATGAATTTGAATAAGGACGGTTTTGTCAAGTCATCATTTTTTCTCATATCTTCATTGGTTCGTGGTGTAGCCATGAGCAAGTCAGCAGGCTGCTGCAAGAGATTCCTGCACTATGCTTTTGACTACGAAACACCAAAAACGCTGGTTATTCCCAGCTTAGGTGTAGGATTTGTGTTCAGGTTCACCCAATTCTTGGTGGTGATGTATGTGGTTGGGTAAGTACCCAATGAAATCAGAGGAGGGGATCGATTGGTTGGGGGTGTGGTAATATGTGGATTATGAAATGATGTTTTTGCTTGCACAGTTAAACTCTTAAACATTTCTGCGAACCTGCTGTAGGTATGTGTGTGTGGTGCAGAAGGCCTACCAGGATACAGATACTGTCATCAGCACCGTCACCACGAAAGTGAAAGGTTTCGCTTTCACCAACACATCTGACACGGAGCCTCGTTTTTGGGATGTGGCTGATTACATTATCCCTCCTCAGGTACTCAAACGTGCATTTTAGCATTTCTGTCATTTTATATGTGAGGGAGGAGAACAGCATAACAGGCTTTTTTCATTCCCTGGAAAATTTTTCCCTGCTCTACTTTCTGACAGAGTGATCATTCATTCTTTGTGCTGACGAATATGGTTGTGACCCCAAAACAAGTGCAGTCACATTGTCCCGAGGTGAGTCACTGCTGTTACAAAACAGATCCTATAACCAGAGCCAAGGGTCGGCCATGTCTTGCCAAACTCACACAACCAGTGGTGAAGACCATTAGAGTGCCAAGTACATGGTCATTGTCCTGTATTAACAGCTACATTTCTCTGTGGCTATTGTTTTTCAGTTGGGGGAAATCATAAATATGATTATAAACCCTTTTAAAGTCAAGTGTATCATATTTCCTGTGAGTTTTTGAGACTTCTACACAACAGTGTCATTTTTTTCCCCACGGCAAGTAAATTGCACAAAAATACCTGATGCAGGAAATATGGCACAAATTACAACTCATATAGCCAAATGGATACTTATCTAATTAAAAATTGTTAGAAGACTCAAGAAACTTCAGGCT